TTTGAATACCAACGCTGCTTACTCATTGAATGGGCTTGGCCATGTCACAGAACCTCTCTGAACCTCAGTTTCCTCATATGTAAAATGGGGATAATTCCTACCTTGCATTGTTGTAAAGATTTAAGTAAGTGCACATAGAGTACCTAAAACAGTGCCTGCCACATAGTAGGTACTCTCTGAAGGGCACTTTACCAACATCATCATCTCCCATGGCACCTAGCTCAGTGCTAGGTTATTGTTGGCTTGATTTAATTCACCTTTGATTCGCCCGCAGCACCTAGCATGGTCCCTTACACAGAGTAGATGCTCCTGTATATGGCTGGTTGAATTGAAAACTGGAGAGAGCGAGAGAGCAAAAGTGCATGATCACAGATGACAGGTCTCCCACAGGTCCTCTAAACAGATCTCTGAATCTCCCACAGCCTTGGTCTCCCCACAGGTCAAACTCAGTGGCAGCTTCTCCTAGAGGGCTCAGAGAAATGGGAGTTTGCAACATCAGAGGTTTCTAATGTAATCAGATGGGTAATGAAAAGGTTCTTCCCTGAGCCTCAAGTGAGTCAGAGCTCTGTGCTTGGCTTTGCCCCAGGGAGTACCAAGAAAATGAAATATCATCTGTATCCTCATGACACCTAAACAAATGGTCATTTCTCTGGGTCAAATATCAGCCAGAGGGGTTAAAAGGCATCTCCAGTGAAGGGAGGAAAGGAGCAGCAGGGAAAGGACCGTGAGCAAGGTGCTTAGTGGGGTCCTGGTACATGGCTTCTGTTAAGGCTAACACCTGTTTGCCTTATGATGGGATGTTTGTTTTGCTTTCGTGAAAGACGCTGCTAAATGACAATGTGTCTGAAATCCACAAGCGTTTTGAACCCCTCCATCTGTCTCAATAATCCCTTCCACATCCTGACACCTGAATCAAGACATAAGTTCTCATTTAGGTAACAAACTGTCCTCTTTTGTAACAAATATAAACCACATCTGTATCTCAGACTTGCTCTTTTTCTTCCTGGCCTTTTGCCACTATAGGAAAATGTCAGATAGGCTAAGTTTTCACATTGCAGCTGGTTACCATGATTATGTAGACACAGCCTCTACAAATTCAATGGTGTGTTGCTGGCTGTTCAAGAGCTGGTGAAATTAATGCCCAGGGAAGTGGGAAATGGGCCACCACAATCAAAATGTGGACTCCAAACTTGCTCTTCATTCTGCCCCACTCTTGCCCTCCTACATCCCTGTCTTTGTGATAATCACCATCTTTCTGCCAACCTGCTGGCGTTCTGTTCCTCCTCCCACTTCCCCTTGGGAGTAAAGCAGTTCAAGAGAAGCACCATCATCCTAGACTTAAAGATATATGAGGATGGTGGGAGCTGAGTGTATGAGACCCCACTCCCACCACCGCTGTGGACAGTGCACTGGAGAAGGGGCAGCATGGCTGCCTTCAGAGGCCTCTTTATCCAACAAAGGAAACTGACCACCTGGAACTAGAAGACCTCAAAAGATCATCTGGCCCAGGCCCTATCTCCAGACAGATCAGTACATGAACCACCCAGGACCAAGGACAATCTCTCCTCTTCATAAGAACCCCTGGCAGAGGCCTGCCCAAGTCGTCCCTGTCTCATAGTCTGCTGTATAAGTCATGAGTAGCTGCTGTGTGTGTGGCTTCTGTCTGGGGCAGAGGAAGGTGCACCGCTCTGTGGGGCAGGGAAATGGAGTTTGAGAACCAGCTCTGCACCTGACTAGCTGTGGGAGTTTACCAATTTTCTCTGCCTCCTCGACCACCTCCAAAATGGGAAGATGGGCAAGCAAGAGTTCTGCTAGCTCTTGAAGAGCTAAATCACTATAAACCAGTGAATCTCTTATTTTAAAATCTTCATATACAACTTAAGCCAGTTTAATTGAAATAGAAAAAGTCTGTTTTCAGGGCTATCTCTATCACAGATTCCTTAATCTCAGGGAACTCCTTGAAATTGTGTATTTTGTGCATTAGAGGGTCTGTAAATTTTGATGGGAGAGATTAAATCCCTAGATAGGTGTATGATATCCTACCACCTCCAAATATACATATATATATATATACATATATATATATATATGAGGTTAGGGACCCACCTTTAGGATGGAGAGCTTAAATGTAAATCACCCTGAATGGCTTCCTGGTTCCCCACCTCTGAATACCAGGCTACAGTGATTATCAAGGGCAGGAAGTAGGAAGCCCTAGATGCAGGATTCTGGACGAGAGTAAAGAAGGCATCAGGCTTTACTTTTTTTTTTTTTTTGCTGTGTAGCATGTGGGATCTTAGTTCCTAGACCAGGGATTGAACCCACGCCCCTGCACTGGGATCACGGAGTCTTAACCACTGGATTGCCAGGGAAGTCCCCAGGCTTTACTTTTCAGTCTCCAGCTCTCACTACCCATTGCTCTGCCACATGTCTACTAGCCATACAACCTCAGGAATATTCGAACTGTCTCTGAACCATGGTTTTCTCAACTGTCAATGGAGAATGGTATGCTTCTGTTAAAGGTTGTTGTGAAGAATAAAAGAAAATGAGTAAATGCTTGGCTATCAGTGGAAACTCAATAAATATGAGTTCCCTCCCAGCACTAGTAGCTCAGGTCCCAAAACTGACTACTTGGAAGACAGCTCCATCTATAACAATCAATCCACCCTACCTCAAATGTAAATTGGCACAGTCACTATGGAAAACAGTAAGGAGGTTCCTCAAAAAATTAAAAATAGGACTACCATATGATCTAGCAATCCCACCTCTGGGTATATATCCAAAGCAAATGAAAAAAGGATTTCCTTTGCACTCCCATGTTCTCTGCAGCATTATTCACAAGAGCTAAGACATGGAAACAAATGTCCATCAGCTGATGGATGGATAAAGAAGATGTGGCATACACACACACACACACACACACACACATATACACACAATGGAGTATTATTCAGCCAAGACAAAGAAAGAAATCCCACCATTTGCAGCAACGTAGATAAGACTTGAGGGCATTATGCTAAGTGAAATAAGTCAGACAGAGAAAGACAAATACTACATGATATCACTTCTATGTGAATCTAAAAGAAAAAAAAAAATCCTCATAGAAACAGAGTTAGTTAAGTGGTGGTTACCAGTGGTTGGGTGGGGAGGGGCTGGAGTGGGGAAATGTTGGTCAAATGGTGAAAACTTCCAGTTATAAGATGAATAAGTTCTGGGGATCTAATGTGCAGCATGGTGATCGTAGTTAATAATACTATATCATATACTTGAAAGTTGCTAAGAGAGTAGATCTTAAATGTTCTCACCACAAAAAAAGAAATGGTAATTACGTGACATGTTGGCAGTATTAGCTAACACTATGATGTTAATCATTTTGCAATATATAAATGTCTCAAATCAACTTACATAATGTTATATGCCAATTAGAGCTCAATAAAGCTGGGGGTGAGAATTCACCCCCTTCCTTGCTTCTGGGGGAAAAGTGTGACATAACAGCTAAGTGCTCAACTTTGGATAGACCCGCAGTTGGGTTCAACTCCCAGATTCACTCCTTGATGGCCATGTGGATTTACACATAGTTAAATTTCACTGCACCTTGGTGTCCCATCCACTAAATGAAAATGATTATGAGAATAGTCCTTCTTTCCTAGGGTTGTGAGAAAATGCGACAAGTGGATAAATGTTAACTAACATAAGGCTCTCCCTCGGCATCCTTGGCCATACCCTCTTTCCTAAGTACCATTCACCCACCTTGGGAAGTGTGTCCCTATAGCTGAATGTCCAACATGGAAATCAGGCAGAAAGGGGAAAAGAATTCAACAAATAATCTGGATTCCCCAAGTCCCCTCCCCATTTGCCTGGAGGTCTCTTACCCCATTCCTACCCCCAGATAGCCCACAGTTTGTTCCTCATTTCTTTCAGGTCTTGGCTCAAACATCACTTCAGGAAAATCCCGAGCACCCATATAAAATTCCAAATGCGCCCCACAGCATTCCATTTCCCCAATCTTGCTTTATTTTCTCTGCTACGCCTGTCAGCATAGGGCGCACCTCAGAATTTGCCTACTTATTTGTTTGTCTCCTCCCACTAGAATGGAAGCTCCCCAAGGACAGGGGTCTTTGTTCTACTTGGTTCAATTACCCACAGCGCCTAGAACAGAACCCAGGGCAGACAAGGGGTTCCCAGTTAACAATCTGTTAAAAGAATGAGTGATTGAATGAATGAATGACAAGAAGCTTCCGAGTTTTCTTATGAGACCAGAGAGGTTTCGCAGGGAGGGAAGGATGGGGGTTGGTCTCAGATCTGACTCAAGTCCCTCTCATTTGACTAACTTTGGAATTCTTCCTCTTTTAGGTGCCACGCAAGTTGCAGAGCCCCCTATATCTGAGTGCTGACTCCAGACGCCCCTCACTAAAGGCAAGCACCCCCAGCCCACTTTTGAAACTGCGGAGTGAATAGGAGGAAAAAGAATCCCAGTGAGCCACCTACGGAGCAGAGTGCTGACATCAGTACAGGTCGCTTTTCCTAACAGAAACCAAGTTTCGCGGCACATGGGACTGCCTCAGACTGCCTATGTGCGCGTCCCCTCCCCCTACTGGCCTGCCCTCGGGGAGACGGGGGCGCGGTCCGCCTCCGGGCTGAGCAGGGTGGCGGCGTCGGGGCTGCGGGCGCCTTCGCTGGACCCGCATTGCCCCCTAGTGCCGCGCGGAGTCAGGGCGCCGGGCTCCCCCGCCTGATGTCACCGCCGTGCAGTCAGCCCAGAGGCGGCTCATTGAAAGCAGACCCTCCTCGGCGCTAGCTGGGCGGAGGCGCCGCTGTCCGCAGACCCGCCGCGGGCCGGGCAGAGCCGGGCGCCCCCTGCCCCGCCGCCCGCTCCTCCCCGCCGCTCCCCGCGAGCCCGGCCCGGCGCGCCTGACGTGGACCATTAAACTTGGAGCTGCCGCCTCGTCCCCTCTCTCCTGCTCCTCGCTCTGACAGGCGAGCGAGCGGCTCGGTGCAGGCAGGAGACGTGCTGCCGGGCTGGGCTGCCGGGGGAGATGACTTCTCGCCAGAAGGGCGCCTTTGGGAAGAAGACCACGGGGGAAGCAAAGTTTCAGGGCAGCTGAGGAGCCTTCGCCAGCCCTTCCCAGCCCTGTCACCCCTCTGGCTATGGAGGGCGGACTCTAAAATGAATCCCGATCTGGACACCGGCCACAACACAGCAGCACCTGCCCACTGGGGAGAGTTGAAAAATGCCAACTTCACTGGCCCCAACCAGACCTCGAGCAACTCCACACCGCCCCAGCTGGACATCACCAGGGCCATCTCCGTGGGCCTGGTGCTGGGCGCCTTCATCCTCTTTGCCATCGTGGGCAACATCCTAGTCATCTTGTCTGTGGCCTGCAACCGCCACCTGAGGACACCCACCAACTACTTCATCGTCAACCTGGCCATTGCTGACCTGCTGCTAAGCTTCACTGTGCTGCCCTTCTCCGCGGCCCTGGAGGTGCTCGGCTATTGGGTGCTGGGCCGTATCTTCTGTGACATCTGGGCCGCCGTGGATGTCCTGTGCTGCACAGCCTCCATTTTGAGCCTGTGCGCCATCTCCATCGACCGCTACATCGGGGTGCGCTACTCTCTCCAGTACCCGTCACTGGTCACCAGGAGGAAGGCCATCTTGGCGCTCCTCAGTGTCTGGGTGTTGTCCACGGTCATCTCCATTGGGCCTCTTCTTGGGTGGAAGGAGCCGGCGCCCAATGATGACAAGGAGTGTGGGGTCACTGAAGAACCCTTCTATGCTCTCTTCTCCTCCCTGGGCTCCTTCTACATCCCTCTGGCGGTCATTCTGGTCATGTACTGCCGGGTCTACATCGTTGCCAAGAGGACCACCAAGAACCTGGAGGCTGGAGTCATGAAGGAGATGTCCAACTCCAAGGAGCTGACCTTGAGGATTCACTCCAAGAACTTTCACGAGGACACCCTCAGCAGTACCAAGGCCAAGGGCCACAACCCCAGGAGTTCCATAGCTGTCAAACTTTTTAAGTTCTCCCGGGAAAAGAAAGCAGCCAAGACCTTGGGCATTGTAGTCGGTATGTTCATCTTGTGTTGGCTACCCTTCTTCATCGCTCTACCACTTGGTAAGTTGGGAACTGGCGGAGGGGAACGGGGCATTTTCAGATCTTGGGTTTACTGATGAGCTTACTCTAAAGTTTTTTGTGGGTTTTAGTTTTTTGTGCAGTCTGCGTGTGTTTGGAGGTTGGGGAATATTGTTTGTTCTGCAAAGGCTTTGCAGATTGGGTAGGTGGCTAAGAACCGACTCAGGTGTTAGTGGAACGCGCTAAGGTACGAGTCACTTGAAATAGAACCTCAGGAGGCAAATCAGGTATGTGCAAGGACTCATTCAACAGCCTTGGTTTAATAATTAAAAAGGACACTGGACTTGAACATCACACCAGCGTTATTTCAGTAGTAATCATGTGCCGGCTAAGGCGGCGTCACTAATGCAGCATACAAAATAGTTTGTAGTTACCACAGACACGGCATTTGGGAAGCAGGGAGGCAGCTCGTACACAGAAAGGCAGTTTTCGTTCAGCATTTCCAGGGCTCCTGCAGAGATCCACACTCCTCAAGAGCTTTGCAGAGGCTGCCTTCTCCCTCTCCTCCTTTCACCACTTGCTATCACCTCCACGCACTCCCTCCATTACGAGTTAATAAGAGCATTTTACAGCCTCACAGCCCCAACCAGCCTTTATCTAAAGCTTGAGATTTGAAAGAGAAGGAAGACGGCCAGAGGGTCACACATTCTCAGTTTTCACCCCAAAATATCCCTAACTCTGGGGATTTATGGAATGTCCAGGATTAAATTATAGTTGCCCCTCACCTTCAGCTACCAGGCACCAAGTCGTGCTAGTATGAAGCTGAGCCCTTTCTCTCCTATGAAAATGTGCCCATCTTCTTTTGTTTGGGAGTCCTACTAAGTGAGTTGTTCAAAAGGCTACCTGACTTCCTCTAAGGATGAAGCCAAGGTCTGGGTAGGAGGTAAACCTAGAGGAGGGTGCTGTGACATGCTGTCCACACGGCTCAGGAAACACTTGTCCCTTCTCTGAGGCAGTGATCTGCTTTGATTTCTTTTTCTATCCCTGGGGGACACTCCAGAAAATGAATGGAGGGAGGTAATTATGACAGAGTCATGTGCTGTGATATCAGAAGAGACAACAGCTGCTACATGCCATGGACCACTAACGCCTACAGTCACACCAGGGGCTCAGTTGGAACTGAACAAAAACAAATCCCCGAAGTAACAAAAATCCTAAAGACATACTTTCTCTTTCCAAGAGAAAGAGCCAAATAGAAAGAGGGTAAACTGATGTCGGGAGTTTCCATTTTAAAATGATAAAGAACTGTTTAACCTACTCTCCATATTGTCATTTCTAAGGCTAGCTTTCGAGCTAATGCCTTTCAGAAATAGTTTCAGCGTGTTAAGTGGAGAGGGTTTGAAGCTCTACCCCAAGTAGTGATCACATCCGGCTGCCCAGCTTTCTTTTCTTTCCCAAGGTCTCAGGGTCCTTTTGCAGGCTTGTCCAGTTAAAGTGGATGACAGTTCACACTCCATTGGACCATACAAAGATCGTGGTTGCACATGGAGTGATTTGGCCAATAATTAGCCATGTGACCTTGGGCAAATGATGACGTCTCTGTGAGCCTCAGTTTCTTCATCTGCAAAATAGGGCTAATTACTGTTTGCTCCATGGGGTTTGCACTAGTGCATGGAAAGGACTTAATACAGTGTCTGGTACACAGCAAATACTCAATGAAAGTTAGCTCTTAGTACTACAAACCAAACCCCAATACCCCCTGCAGCTAAAACTGTGTTTTCTTCTCCGTTCAGTTGCCAATACCTGTTATTAAAGGCTCAGAAGGGAACTAGATCTTTTTCCTTTCTTCCTTCTTCCCCCTCCCCCGCCCCATCCTCAGCTGGCAGAGGCTGTGACCAGAGCATCCTCAGGAAAGACAAAGCCCCAGCAGGATGCAGGAGTGGATCAAAGGTGCAGGCTTTCACTTTAGGTGGCAGGGGAAACAACTGAAGAGGCTGCCAGCATGTTGAAATGGAAAGAGTACTGCTCTGAGGGTCAGGAGCAATAGAGTTATGTATGTGAGCTTTGCCATCAATTAGCTCTGTGAGCTTAGGTGTGTTGCTTTACCAGCTGGGCTTCAGGTCTCACTTCCAGGGAACAAGAGGGCTGGACTAGACCAAGGGCTCTCAAACTTCAGTAAGGATCAGAATCATTTGTGGAACTAGATAAAAATTCAGCTTCTAAGACCTAACGCATAGAGAATCCAAGCCAGTAAATCAGAGAAGTCCCAGGAATCACGTTTAACCAGCCCACCAGGTGATTCTGAAGAGGTGATCTGCAGACCACGCTTTGAGAAGCACCGGCCAGGGGATCTCTCAGCTCCTTTCAGGCTCCAGGCTCCTGGACACCCAGGTTTTTAAACGCTGCAAAGGTTAGCACTTCACCACCCACGCAGTGGTGCAGGACGATGTGGCTTCTCTCTGGGTCCCGCTCTTCACACCCACCCTCAGTTTCTTCTCACTTATACTATTTCAGTTTCCCCCTTCTTTCTGTCCATGCCTTTCTGAGACCTTATGTTCCTAACATCTCAGGTCCTTGGCTTCCATGCCACAGAAAGTGAGATGTTCTTGCCACCCTGATGTTATCAGAGCTTGTTTCTCTTCTCCTTGAAGACTTCCTGACCACCCGTTATCTCCCGGAGCTCTCCCAGTGTGCTGTCCCTGAGCTGAGTCCATCCACATGCTTCTCCCCTGGAAACGCAACCCTTGGCGGGTAAGGAGTGTGGTAAGGAGTGTGAATTCGGGATGGACTTCGAAAGTTACTCAAGAGTTTCAAACAGAGAAGGTGCTTAATTAACATGTTCTCAGTAATTTATCAATAGAAAGAGCATCTGAGCAAAATGAGATGTGGGCTTCTACTTCATCTGAGTTCAAATAACACCCAAATAAAAGTAGCATGGGGCTTCCCTGGTGGCGCAGTGGTTGAGAGTCCGCCTGCCGATGCAGGGGACACGGGTTCGTGCCCCGGTCCGGGAAGATCCCACGTGCCATGGAGCAGCTGGGCCCAAGAGCCATGGCCGCTGAGCCTGCGCGTCTGGAGCCTGTGCTCTGCAACGGGAGAGGCCACAACAGTGAGAGGCCCGCGTACAGCAAAAAAAAAAAAAAAGTAGCATGATGTAGAACAATAACTCCTTTGGAATCTGATGCAGGTTCCAAATTCTAAATTTTCCATGAAAGGCTTTTCACTCAGAAGGGGAGAAAGCAAATCTGGGGGAGGACAGTGGTTGGCAAACAGAGAAGCCCAGGTAGGAGTAAACTTCCAGTTGGCGATAAGACTTCCAGGTGCCTGGATGGCACAGGATTTCTATCACTGTGTTTGTCTTTTCCGTGGAAGAGGAGGGTTGGGATTCCTCCTGGGAAGGAAGGAAAATAGCCTTGCCCCCTACAGGGTCCTGGTCAGGGGCCCCATTTGTTTTCCTTCCTTCCTTGTTTTTATTTTTGGGAGCGAGGTTGGGCTGCCTGTGGAGCCCTCCCCACCTGTAACACCCTCCCTATCTCCTCCCCACCCTTTTTCCCTGTGGCCTCAGACCAAGTTGGGCCAGGGACCAGCTCTCACTTACTCAGGAGCAGGGATGGAGCCACCAAACAAGGACCTCTTTATTCAGCGCCTGGAATCAGGCCATGGAGGGACAGGAAATAATTGGAATATAATATAGTAGCATTTCTACTTGATGGGCGATGTGCATGGTGTCCAAGGAATCTTCAGCTGCCTAGCATTACAATGAGGGCCAACTCCCACCCGCCTGGTCAGGGTTCAAGAAGCGGCTGGGCTATTGAGGGATATGCGTTGCACTGGGGTGCAGGGGGTTGTGTAGTAGATGGGGGTGCGGGTGGGTAGCAGGAAGCGCTGGGCAGCCAACTGGTAGCTGGGCTTGGTGTGTTGTTTCGAAAACACTGGAACCTTGCCTCGCTCCAAATCCTTCTTCCGTCTTTTAAAATGCTGAAAGGCATCAGGAAGCCATTATTGAACTAACTGCTTTCCCCTCCAAATAAATGGTCAGCTTCAAAGAAACAGTTGTAATCTCTATAGTACTGGAACCAAATCGGAATCCCTCTCTCCATTGATTTGTTTCTCCAGTCCTCTCATTCAGATTAGGGCTGATGAATTTCCAGCTCCCACAAGAGCATAAGGGAGGGTGGGGGTCTCAGAGATGACTCAGGACAGAGCTACCCCCACAGACACACACACTAATCCTCCAGTTCTGAGGTTTCAAAACACAGGGATTTGAGCTGCTCACAGGGAAATCAATTGGTTTGAGTGAGGGAAAATTTTACACACAGGGACTCCTTCCTAGAAGAGGGAGATCTTACTGCAGGAAAATACATTCAGTCATTTATAAAATCATTAATGAAGACTTCCTAAAGCACCTACTATGTGTTAGGCATTGTACTAATCACTGGGTTGTTGAACCAAAGCAAACATGGCCCCTGTGTGCAGGAGGCTCACAGCCTAGTGCGATCCTATTATCATGGAGCACATACTATGTACCAGACATTCTGCTAGGCCCTCTACAGACATTATCTCACTAATCCTCACAGCTACCCTGACAGGGGAAAGTAATAGCTCCCTCTCGACAGTTAAATATACTGAAGCTCAGAGAGGTTAGACTTCTTGCCCAAGGTCACACAGCAAGTAAATGGTAGAGACAAGAATTGAATCCGTGTCTGTCAGAACAGGCACTTACCTGGTCCAGTGCACAAAGATGTCTGACCTTTTTGCGTTCTGGTCCCAGCCTGCTCTCATAGCAAATGTTCTCCAGGAACCCCAGAGCCACCTTGTCAAAAGCTGATTATTCTACTTCTGTTACAAAGCCCTGTCTTTCTTCCATTCCCCACTCACCCCTGAAAAAAATTCACTCATAAACTATCAGGGAAGGTCATCCGCATTCTAGCTCAGGGCTCGGCTTTCTCTATACGTCCTGCACTGTGTATGACATGGGTGTCTCAACACTGGGCATTTAGTCACCCCAACCAGGAATAAAATGTGGGATCTTGCCCTTCATA